AAAAATATATATATAAATAAAATAAATAAACTACTTTCCTTAAACTGGAGAGGGAGACAAACAAATACATGGTTAAGAATTATGAGATGAGTAAACAGACAGTGCTATAGACTCAGAGCTAGGCGCTTGGTTCAGCTTTAGGGGGAGATCCCAGAAGGTTTACATTTAGGCTGAGTCCCAATCCCAAGTTACACAAATTATCAGGGAAGGATTTTCCAGGTAGAGGGAACAAAGGACCAAAGGCAGAAAGCATAGTCCATTCAGGAGTTGTAGGCATTTTAGGAAGGTATGAAAGATGTTTGTCTGATTCAGTTTTTGGTAAAATTTACTGCTTTAGTTGTGTGGATTGAAACTTGACTATGCTTACTAGAATACAGAATGTTTAAGTCCTTATTGTGTAGCATTAATTCTCTTTTAAGATGAAGACACCAACAATTACACTTAATGTCTAAAGATTATAAGAACAAAATATAACTAAAGCACACCCTTAATATTAACAAATGATTGTTAACCCTCTACAGTAAGTGAAAGAAGGTACATATCACATCCTTTTCCCATCCAACTTCAAGGTTTGAGTTCTCTGTTCTTTTTAAAGGAAACATGGAAATTTAGGGCTTTTGTAACTGGGTAGGATTTTTGAATTAAGTAGGAGGGCAAGGAGTACAAGAATAATTATTACATTTATTTTTTTTATTTTTTTATTTTTTTAAAGATTTATTTATTCATACAGAACTGGGGTACAGGCCAGAGGCTCGGGGCGGTGAGAGGCTTCACCAGAGACAGAGTGGGGAGCAGAACAGGCAGATTGACGAAGTACACTGCTGAGGGGAGCAGCGGGTGGGTCAGGAGAGGTCTGGCTCGCCATGTGGTCTCCTCCGGGGCAGGCGGCAGGCGGGAATCGAACTCATGCGGAAGTGGCCTCAGATTCTCAGTGCTGTGCTTTAACCCGCTGCGCCACCAGGGAGGGCCTACATTTATTTTTGTTATCCCACCTGCTGAGTACAAGCAAGACTTAGGACTCTGTAGACAGAACATTTATTCCCTATTATTGTCTGTATAAAATCTGTTGTGTCTTGATTAAGAGCATTGTTTTTTTTGTTTTTGTAAGCTAGGGATGTTACTGCATTAAACAGAAACCTAATATGTATTCATTGGACAATAGTGGGGTTTTACTTGGATTAAAAGAAAAAAAGTGGTATGTGGAGTAGGGATAAATAAGCTTAGAAAATAGCTCATAGGTCATTTCTCATACATCTTCTTTCTTGATGTCTCAGTAGAGTTTCAAACTCCACACTAGTTTCACCTGGCTTCTAGGACACCACTTCCTTGTTCCTTTTTATACCTCACAGCCTCCTTTGTCTCAGTCTCTATTTTTCCTCTTTAGGGTGATTCCTCCTTTTCTCCTCAGCTTCCAGTGATGGAGTACTCAGATGAGTCTGTGAATCCCTTCTGTGCCTTTGTCTCATTTCCTAGGTGCTCTCTTTCAAGACTTTAAAATACCACTTATACCCTGACAATTGCAAGTGTATATAACTTGAGTCACTTTCTTTTCCGGAACTCAAGGCTCATATCCAATTGCCTACCAGAT